TGACTGTCTCTCCTCCTTCATTACCTCATAGCCATTCACTCCCAAGCCCTGGGGATCCTTCCCAGCACCTTTCCTACTCGCCATTCTCTCACCCTGTAGCCTCTCTGGTTCACTTTGTCTTACAACCAGACTCTTGTGAAAAGGGCTCTGCTACCCTGTCCTCCACTTTCACTTCAAGAGTAATTAGGACTGGAGCTCAGAAAACTGGCCTGACTGGGTGATGAACTTTTGGGAGGGCATCTGAAACCACAGGAATGGATGAGATTGTCTGGGGCCGGAGTAAGAGGAAGCAGAGACCTGAAGGTCAGGCTCTTGCCAGAAGCGAATTCAATGAAGAGGCCTAAGTCAAATCGGGTGGGTTGATGAGCAAAACGGAAGTGAAGACGTAGAGGCAGTATGTGCCAACTACTGTTGAAAAGTTTAGCTGAAAGGGGAATCAAGAAATAGGTGGTGGAGGAGGGCATTGTGGGCCAAAAGAGGGCTGTTTTGTCATTGGTTTAACATGGTAGCTAGTGGAGCAGGTTAAATGCACTAGCAGGATCCAATTAAGAGAGAAGACATGACCTTGGCCAAGCAAATCCATCGCTCTGAGTTTGTATTTCCTAAGCAGGAAAAGTAGAAGCATAAGTATTAGTGGCTCTAGGTATTTCACAGGGTACAAGTGAGATCTATCACTAGGGTAAGTGATGGGTATGAAAATGCTGTAATTATTACTTTTAGAAATCATAGGAATTAAGTAGAACAGGACTGTGAGGAGACACCACATATGTATCTGTTACATGGACATCATTTGTTGAGTGTTCACTGTGAGCCAAGAACTTCCATCTAGCATCTAGTTAGTCTGCACAACTGAGGTTGTAAGAGTTTTTCTGTTTTGTAGAAAGGAAAAGGAGACTTGAAGAAGGTAAATAATTTATCTGCAGCCCAGCTAGGTGTTAAAGAGTAGAGCTGAATCTAAAACCATCATTGGCAGTGCTGTGATGGTATATAATTGGGGTCTTTCCATTCTGGATAATAGAATTAAATCACATAATATAAATTTACTATTAAAGTAAATTTCATTTTTAAAGAATAGTATGGTTATAAGTGTTCTAAATACAACAAAGGAACTAAAAACAATCTTATGAGCACAGAACTAAATAATTGAAGTCCTTCATCACCAAAGGATATCCATGTCTAATTTAATCAGGTACTACTAGGTTTACTAAATGGACCACAGTTGAAGTCAAAATGAAGCACTCAAAACCATACACTTGACTTCAAAAAACCCTTTATTCCATCTATGAAAGCACTCCTGGTTGTCCCCCTTCCTTCCCTTGTAATAGAATCCCTGGTTTTTTGTTGGGCTTAGGCTGCCCAAAATAAAGACTACATTTCCCAGTGTTCCTTACGGGTGTAACCATGTGGTTAAGTTCTGGGCAACAGTTGGTGAGAAGTGGCTTGTGCAACTTCAGGATGGTGCCCTTCAGGGGAACAGGCACACACTCTGCTGTTCCCTGTTCCACGCCAGCTGATGGCGGGGACCGGAGCAGCCATCATGATCTGTGCTGCTGAGAAGAGCTGAACATGGTGAGACGAAGTCCAGGTTTCTGTTGCCACCAAACCACCGAGCCTGTCCTTGAAACAGTCTGGACCTGGGTGAACCTGTACATGAAAAAGACATGCTTAGGTTATTCGGGCTATTGTATTTTGGCCTTTTTTGTTACCATAGCCTAGACTGCACGCACCCTAACTAATGTGCCACCATCTGGCCCGTTTTCTTTCATACACAAATTAAGACAGAACCTCAATTTCCTCATCTATAAAATGGGAATAATTTACCTTACAGGGTTGTTGGAAGGACTGGAAATAATACTTCTAAATTTCCTTGCTGGTGCTATGGCTCATGGCTGATAAAAGATGGAAGGTATTCTATCCTATTATTTTATTGTAAAAAAATGCATCCCGGAAATAAAAATAATCACTATTTTAAAATACTCCACGACCCCCAGCCCATGTGGAGAGGAGCACTGAAACAAAAATAGCAAAGCTGATAACTGATGTGAGCTGAATGATAGGTATATGGAGGTTAATTACACTGTGTCTCCAATACTGTCTTTAAAACTGTTCATAGAGGGAGAAAAAAAAAGTTACGACAAAGAAAATCTTTCCAGAGAGAAAAAAATAATTCCTAGACATAATCCAAAGTGAATTTTCTTGGGAAAAATAAAATTGTATTCAATCTTTTGAGAAATTAATTTGGGTACTCAAGGGGGAGGACAGATGGAGAAGGCCAAAGAATGTTTTTATTTTTCCACTACAGCACCACCGGCAGAGCCTCCGCGCCCCTGAAGCCAGGCGTCTCTACAGCCCCGGACTCTGCTGTCAGGCCTGCAGCGCGCTCCCGTGGGCTGCCTCCACGGACACAGGGCCTGCCCTGCTGCCTTGCCCATTCCGAGTCAGCTCCACGCTGCTGCGACTACAGCCTTCCTGGCTTTCAGTCCCTTACTCCCACCTGAGTGAGCTCACCGGGTTCCTGCAGCCTGTGACTAAGCTCTAAAGCAATGGATTGACTGTGTGAACCTTTTCTTGCCATTGTTGAACTATGCAATTCTAACTAATGTGGCTCTCTGCTCCCAGACCACACTGTGCTGAAAGCATCAGCTAGGAAGTGAGAGTAAATTGCTACAGGCATCATTGTGAGTACAAGAGGAAACTCCTAAAAAGAAACAAAAAAATGCCCTAGCAAATGCAAGAACCCTCCAATCTCAGGCATCTGCAGGTATCTATACACACGGAACAGACAGTCCTCCATGCTTCACTCCCTCCCGAGCATACCCCTTTATCACTCAGCGCAGCACAGTAATCACTGCCTGTTTTGAACACCGTGAAGAAAACTTTAAATTATGTTCCGCATCCTGTATTTTAGAGAGAGAAAAAAAGCACACATTTCAGGAAAACTTTATTCAGATGTTTGCAATAAAATAATTGGGTGGTTCTAGATAAATTTCAGGAACATGGGAAATCAGCTTCGATTTCACTTTTTTCAAGTTGCTAAGTTGCCTTGTCTGTACCAGAGTATCTTACCACCCTAGCTTCTCAATGAATCGCAGCAGTGTGTGGCCCTCACTGGGGACATCGGAACAAGGGGTCCAAAACCCACGTGCCTGCAGAAGCAAAGCAGGGAATGTGAGGAAGGCTAGCGGTACAGAGACTGGAAAACAGACATCCCGCCTACAGGAAGCAACTGCTCTTCAGCTCCAAAGTCTCCTGGCATGCAGGAGGGGAAGCTTAATATAACAATGTGACCAGGCCTTTCTTTCTTCCTTCCTTCCTTTCTCTCTTTTTTTTTAAGAAAAAGTAGATGACTATCCAAAAAGGCAATTAGGAACTGCATTTACAGTAGTATCAAAAAATAATAAAATACTTAGGAATGCACTTAACCAAAGACATGTAAGACTTGTAGACTGAAAACTATAAAACATTACTGAAAGAAGTTAATAGGATGCAAATAAATGGAAAGCTATCCTGTGTTCATGAATTAGAAGACAATATTGTTAAGATGTCAGGACTACCCAAAATGATCTACAGATTTAATGCAACCCCAACAGTATTTAATGCATAAATAGAAAAAAAATCCATCCTAAAATTCATATGGAATCTCTCAGGAACCCCAATGGTTAAGCTCCAAGCAGGGGAGCCATGAATCATGTTAAGAAACACTGCAGAAGGCAAAAAAAATTAATGGTATTCATCCCCTCAGCATTGTGGAGAAAGGATTATTCTGAGGAAAAGTTTGGAAGAAAATTGTCAAGAACTATAAAAGGTAGGACATTTCAGCCTACTTGCAAACTGAATTAGCCTGCCAGTTTTATGAGTTCTGGCAGATGAGACTCCAAGGCCAGAGACAAAGGACAGTTTATTCCCAACAGCAACAGCAGTAGTCAGATCATCATTTGGGCCAGTTTCCTGCGCCTTAATTCCCACAAGCCCATGAGATGAAGGCCACAGGAGGTTGCACTACAGGAGGACTCAAAAGGCCTGAAGCTGAAGGAACCTGGTATTTCATAGTTGTGAGATCGCCAGACTTTTTTCTGGAGACATTATTTTTGCCTTCCAAGGCTATTTACCATAGAAACGGCCTTGGAAAGACAGCCCAGAAAAGGTACTGGATGTCTCCACTCCATACAGAAACATGAGACGTGTGGAAATCGTCTTCCAACGGAAACCAGGAATGCAAGCGTTTCATACCAAATCAGGAGAAAGGACTCCTACCTCTGAAGGCTGTAAAGTGATCAGAAATCAAGGGGGCAGAAATAGGGAGTTGGGGAGGTTCGGGCCTGCAGTACAAGAATGGATCCTAGTTCCCAGGGCTAACTTTGGAGAAGTCCCGACTCTGTTTTAATGAGCGCCTGCCTAATGTCATGAGCACTTTCCATACTTATTTCACTTTAATCCTCACGACTCATGGAGAGACGAGATAATAGCGTCCCTTTATACACACGGAAATAGATTTTGAAAGGTTGTGACTTGCCCACATACTGAATCAGGAAACAAGAATGGCGTCTTCCTTCACCTGTTTCCTCCCTACCCCAGAGGATAAGACTGGCCAAAATTAAGTAAACAACTAATGCAAGAGTGGCCACAGATCTTTGAAAGGGCACTATAAATCCTAAGTGGTGAAAACACGAACCGCGCTTTCAGACTCACTCTATTTCGGACCCAAGAAGTGGGGAGCTCTCGCTTTTCCTACCTCGCGGGCCTGACATTTAGGGGATTGGTTAAGGAAGGGGGCCCTAGTCTTCATTTCCCATTTCAAATCGGAAGTACCTTTCCAGTGACACGGAAGCCCTACGGTTTGGCAGTAGAGTTTCTTCCTCCCTAAATCCAGACAGCCCGTCAGGTGGGCGGGGACAGAAGAGCCGACCAGCACAGCCTCGCTCTTCCGGGGTTTTCCCCCCGCGCAGACCGGAAGTGAGGCGGAGCCTGAAGCACGCTCCACACGATTGGTCAGCGCCGCTGTCGTTCAGATCTCCGAGGGAAAGGGGCTGAGTGCAGCTCACCCAGGGGTCTGTGGAGACCCGAGGTGGGTGGAAGTGGGGAAAGCGAAAGTTGCGGTCTGTAGTTGCCATGGAGCCGGGCCCTGCCGTGTCCCCCGGGCCTTTCCGCTCCTTCAAGGAGGAACTGCTGTGCGCGGTCTGCTACGACCCGTTCCGCGATGCTGTGACTCTGCGATGCGGCCACAACTTCTGCCGCGAGTGCGTGACCAGCTGCTGGGAGGCTCAGGTGTCGCCTTCCTGCCCCGTATGCAAGGACCGCGCGGCCTCCGCCGACCTGCGCACCAACCACACCCTCAACAACCTGGTGGAAAAGCTGCTGCGCGAAGAGGCCGAAGGCCCGCGCTGGAAGGGCCACCGCTTCCCACGCCTCTGCCGCCTACACCGCGGCCAGTTCAACCTATTCTGCATCGATGACAAGGAGCTACTGTGCTGCTCGTGCCAGGCCGACCCCCGGCACCAGGGACACCGCGTGCAGACAGTGAAGGACACTGCCCAAGATTTTCGGGTAAGCGCGAATGTGTGAGGGAGGTAGTCCAGCGCGCACGTGGTGGCCGAGTCAGCACTGGAACCCAGCACCCTTGAGCCCGCTATTCCTGCCACTCCAACGTGCCAGAGCTGAGTACGCTCAGTCCCTCCCTTCTTCCTGCGGCCAGCTTGATGGTGTCGCCTCGGGGCCCCCACCTGGATGATTCTGTAACCTATGGAGGCTACCTTTGTCATCAAAACCTCCCAGGGGGCCTGAGATGGGAGAACAGAGAATGTACACAGTGTACAAACCGAGTTTACGCGAGGTTCTCAAGATAGCCCCACCCACTTCTTAGGCCACGCACCCTTTCTGCCAGTAGGGTGTGGCCCTTGCCTCTTTGAGAAGCACACGTGTGGAGGAAACTCAGGAAACCTGGAGCTCGGCACACTCAGGTTAGAGATGCAGGAGCCCAAGGCCTGGCCGTGGTACGGAGCCTTGAGATCCCCCATGTAGTCACCGGCTTCCCCAGCTGGCCCGTGTGTTGTGTAGCTACGGGGAGGCTTCTGGCCCTGGACATCTGGCTCTTTCTGGATCACTTTCTCAACCTCCCAATGCCTAGAGTGCCAGTAGCTATAAATAAAGTAAGGGGCAGCTTAAAACGACGACCTTGTCTCACAGGAGTGAGGGATCACAGGGGGCTGTCTTAGAGGCTGCCTACCAGGTTCTTATTCTGCCACATAGTAGCTATGTGCCCTTGGGCTTGTCACTTCCCGCTTCTGTGCTTCAGTTGTTTTCATCTGTAAAATGAGGCTAATAATATTTCTTGACCTAATAGGGATAATGTGATGATTAAGTGATATAATCTGTAAAGTAATTAGTGCAGTCCCTGGCAAATAATAAAAGCTCAATAAATGGTAGTCATTTGTAATTATTGTTATTAGAATTGTGATTTTTTAATTATTTTTCCAAAGAAAAGCACTCGAAAAGCTTTCTCAGAATGTAGTGAGAAATAGGTAAAGACAGAGAAAATGCTAGGCCTTAGATACAAAAGGTGGGAATTCGATATAAAACTAGTCCTGCCCTGGCTGGTATGGCTCAGTGGATTGAGTGCTGCCCTGTGAACCAAAAAGTTGCCAGTTCTATTCCCAGTCAGGGCACATAGGTTGTGGGCCAGGTTCCCTTGTGGGGTGTTGGGGATGTGTGAGAGGCAACAGATTGATGTATCTCTCACACACTGATGTTTCTCTCCCTCACTTTCTCCCTCCCTTGCTCCCTGTCTAAAAGTAAATAAATAAAATCTTAAAAAAAAAAAAACTAGTCCCAGTTCTTCAAGGAGTCCAAAGAGATTAGAGCAGTGGTTAAAGTTTAAAAAACAAAAACTGTTAAACAAAAAGGTATTTGAATTTGCTGACTAAAGTATTTCACATGATCCAAGCAAAATGAGAATGTCAGGATGCGGGGAGACGTGTGGTTTAGATAAGGGCGCATGGGAATAAGTGGGTGAACCCTGTGGTCAGTCCTGTTGGTTAGTGATTGCAGGCCAGTCCAGGTTAGAAGGCTGCAAGGGAGCCTGTGGGCACATCGTCTTTACAGTTCTATGCACGGTTCAGGATGCATGGCCGAGCCTGGACCGGCTTTAGGCCTGAGCGGGGTGCAGTCCCTCTTTTCTGCACTGTGACCAGCTTGAGAGGGACTAGGCCCCTGGACCTCCTCAGCCCTCTCTCCCTGTCTGTAGTGGGAATAAAACGACAGTGTTGGGTTAGAGGATATCTGAGGGCCCTTTATGCTGTAGAGGTCAGGTTCAAAGTCAGGGCTATACTTCCTGCTGTTCCTTGCTGTCTGTGAATGGACTGGGCTCAGTAATTGTGCTTGAGTGGAACTTCCTTGTGGAAGTGGAACTCCAGTTGTAAATGTGTTGTCCTCCCTGCCTGGCCTCCACCCCTCACCTGCCTTCTTGCCTCCCTCTCATTCCTCCCATCAGGCCAAGTGCAGGAACATGGAGCACTCGCTTCGGGAGAAAGCCAAGGCTTCCTTGGTCATACAGCACTCCTACCAGGCCATTGCCAAGCACAATCAGGTAAGTGAGTGCTCAGGCTGGGCTGAAGACCAGGGCCACATAGGGCCATCTGGAGGGTAGGTGAGGGTGGGTTGGCCCTGGCCGAGGCTATGGATGCAGAGTCAGCCTTCCCCAGTCTGAGGGTCTGGCATAGCCATGCTCTTGAACACTGATTGTGGCTGTCATGCCAGGGCTTCTTTGAATACCTGGGCATGGTCATGCCAGCAGCCACAAAAGTGGCTTTAAAAGCCACCTGCACCCTGGCCGGGTGGCTCAGTTGGTTAGAACATTGTCCTGTTCACCTAAAGGTTGTGGGTTTTATCCCAGTCAGAGTGCATATGTACCTAGGCTGGGGGTTTGGTCCCGGCCCGGGCACATGGGGGAAGCAACCGATTGATGTTTGTCTCTCTTTCCCCCCACCCTCTAAAATCAATGAACGTATCCTTGAGTGAGGATGTTTTTAAAAAACCACCTTCACCATCTGCACTATGGTTTCAGACTAACTTAAGTGCCACACTTCTCCATCTACCTGAGTGCTCAAGCCAGTGATGACCGGGGGTCATTAGTTATTCCTCTTTCCCGCTCACTCCCCATGTCCACTCCATCAGCAGTCTCGTCCCCAGGTCACTATCTCTTCTCACCTGCCCTGCTACCTGGGCCCCGTGCTTCCTCCCCGTGCTTCCTCATTCTGCAACCCTGTCTCCACGGAGTAGACTGCTCTTCTAGAAAAATGCATCCATTATGTCACTTCTCTGCTTAAAACTGTCCGGCGACTCCCATGAGACACAATGCAATCCCGATCCCTCACCATGGCCTCCGAGGCCCTCACCCAACCCCTGCCCACCCTCACCTTCATCTCCTCCCAGGCTGGGCTGCACTCTCTGTTTCGGCCACACTGGCCTTTCTGTCCCTTCAGCGAGCTAAGTCTTCTGGCTGGTTTTTCCTGCCTGCTGTTTTCTATCTTCCTGGGTGACAAGAATCACCCCAGATTTCACTCTCCCTCCCACCCTACAAATATCAATCTTTTTAGCTTGATATTTCAACAGTGCCATCTCTGCTCATTTGCATTTCTCAGATTATTAGTAAGTTTGAACAGCCTTTCACAAGTGTAATAACCATTTACGTTTCTTCCGGGAATGCCAATTCAGTCATTTGTTCTTGGTATATTTATCTTTTCTCCTTGTGCACCATAAGAGCACCTTGCATATTAAGAAAAATATGTTCTTATATATATTCACATATATATGTATGTCGGAGATATTCTTCCTAGTTTTGTCATTTCTTTTTCAGTGAATCATTTTCACTTTTTTAGGCATTTTCACTTGGTCAGTGAATCATTTTATCATCATATTGTCAGCGCCATAAACATACATTGAATTTTCAGTCCAGAGGTGTGTGTTCCTAACCTGCCATTACTGGAGCACACATTTCGAGGTGTTTTTCCGATAGTCATCATGAAATATACAATTTGTATATTTCCATAAATATGTATTTACCTGTATTAGTGGTCTCCTGCCATACAAAACTTCTTATTTTTATATGTATTCAGTTACTTCAGTTCTTTCTTTGAGGCTTCTCAATCGCATAGTAAGAAAGGTCTTTCTCATTGCAAGAGGAGAGATATTTTTCTGCTTTTTCTTTTAGTATATTTATAGTTTTAACTTTTTTAAAGCTTTTTGTAGCTAGGATTAAGAGTATGCATGTTATTAATGATTCTGTTTTAAAATAAATACTCCTACTCCTCTTTTGGTAAGCCTCTTGATCAAACAAATTTTAAGTCCTAAGATTGGAAGGCAGATAATTTTTTAAAAATAGTCACTGTTTGCAATGATTCTTTTCGTGATTCAGGATTTCTTTTGCTGTCATGCAGCGTAAACAGGATACAGAATATTGTATGTGGAGGAGGCTACAAGGCTAGATTGGTCATGTATAAGCAGCAATTTCAACTTTTAAAAAATCGAAACAACTTCATTATGCTGTTTGACTGATTTTGAAATTTAAACTGGTAAATTGTGCTAACAAAGCTGCATTTTATTTTATCCATTTGGGTTCTACAACTGATTTCTTTTGAAAGTAGAGCTCCTTTGCTAAAAACCTGAGAGCCACTGGGGTAGGCGATGGCTGAGATTCCCTCCATGCCTGACCCTCTGCGCCTCCTTCCCACTCTGCTGCAGGAGAAGTCTGCCTGGCTAGAAAAGCGGATCCGGCAGGAGTTCGATAAGCTTCGAGAGTTCTTAAGAGTGGAGGAGCAGGCCATCCTGGATGCCGTCGCCGAGGAGACCAGGCAGAAGCAGCTTCTGGCAGAGGAGAAGATGAAGCAGCTCAGGGAAAACACAAAGACTCTGATGCACGAGACCGAGCGGCTGCAGATGGAAATGAAGGAAGATGATGTTTCTTTTCTCATGGTGAGGAGCTCGTTATCTTCATTCAGTGACCGAGGCTGGACATTCAGGAACCAGTGGGCAGCCAGAGACCAGCAGCCCCAAGCAACCCAGTCTTTCTGCAGCTTCCAGATACTGGGTTGGAGGAGCTCACAGACCACATCTTCTGCTTGGGTCAAGAGGTTGAAAAGATTTTAATCAGAGCAGAGTTCCTTAGGAACTACCAGGCTGTCTTCCAGGAGACTGCAGCATTTCGCGTTCCCACTAGCAGTGTGTGAGGATCGCAGAGTCTCCTCATCCTTGCCAACACTTACGTCTTTTTGATTATAGCCATCATAACGGGTGTGAAATTGTATCTCTTAGGGTTTTGATTTGCATTTCCCTGATGGCTGGTGATGCTGAGCATCTTTTTTTATGTAGTTGTTGGCTGTTTGTGTAACTTCTTTGGAGAAATGTACATTCAAGTCCTTTAGCCGTATTAAAAATTGGGCTGCCTGTCCTTTTTTGTTGAATGGTAAGATTTTTTTATATATTATGGATACTAGACCTTGATTAGCTAAGTGATTTATAAATATCTTCTTCCTTTCTGAGTCATTTTTTCGGTTTCTTGATGGCATCCTTTGAAGCACAAATGTTTTTCATTTTGACGAAGTGCTACTTACCTATGTTTGCTGCTTGTGTGTCCTTTTGGTGTCGTATCTAAGAAACCATAGCCTAATTCAGGGCGTGAGTCTTAGAGTTTTCTCTCTACATGGAAGTCTTTGACCCTTTCGGAGTTAGTTTTTGTATGTGGTGCAAGGTAGGAACCCACCCTGGTGCCTTCACATGTGGGCGCCCAATTGCCCCAGCGCCGTTGTTACAGACCGTTCTCCTTCTACCCAGCAGTCTCGGCACCTTCATAATAACCGATCGCCAGTAAACGTGCGGGTTTGCTTCTAGACTCTGCACGTCCTCTGACCCCTACGTCTGTCTTTAATGCTAGTACCGTGCTGACTTGTTTACTGTTGCTTTTAATAATCTTTAAAATAGGGAGGATGGTGAGCCACCAACTTTGTTCTTTTCCAAGATTGTTTTGGCTATTCTGGAGCCCTTGAACTTACAGATGAATTTTAGGATAAGCTTAGCAGTTTCTCCAAGCAGTCCAGCTGGAATTTTGACAGAAATTGCATTGAATCTGTGGTTAATGGAGGGGGGGGCACAGCCATCTTCACACGGGCTGTGTGGCTCCTTCTGAGGTCAGAAACTTACACGTTTTCTCTGTGTCTTTTTTGTCTGATTTTTTCTCTTTCAGAAACACAAGAGCCGAAAACGCCGGTAAGTTGCCAAGGCTGATGTAGGGGAGGGAAAGAGCAGGCAGAAATACCAGGGGTGCAAAGTCCAGTGGCTCCAGGGCCAGGCAGGTAAAAAGCCAGCTGGGTGTAATACAGAGGGAGCAGTGGGGACTGGCCGATGCAGAGAGGTCCTCTTTCCAGGTATCCCACTGGTACAGTGTTTTCCTGAGCGTGGGGTGTTCCCATCTTCCCTGAGGGTGGGGAGAGAGAGAGCCATCCTGCATGTGGCTCACAGTTCCCAGCAGGTCACCCCAACATGTAAGCTTGTTTCTTGGTCATCCCCACCTTCTTAGAGCCTTGGGACACATGCTGGTTTGTGTTGATGGTTGTACACAGGGATGGGTAAGGAAGACCTGTGTCGCAGTCAGAGCTGTACAAAGATGGAAGAGAGTGCTTTGGGCAATAGTGAGTTCCCTGTCACTGTAGGTGTGCAAGCAAAGGCCAATGTCATCTTCATACTGTTGGACTAGAGGACCTTTATTTTTTTTTTTAAGATTTTATTTATTTTTTAGAGAGAGGGAAAGGGAAGGAGAAAGAGAGGGAGAGAAACATCAATGTATGGTTGCCTCTCACGTGCCCCCAACTGGGGAACTGGCCTGCAACCCAGGCATGTGCCCTGATTGGGAATTGAACCAGCAACCCTTTAGTTTGCAGGCCCGCACTCAATCCACTGAGCTATACCAGCCAGGGCTAGAGGACCTTTAAAGGTCCCTTTCAACTCAGACATCCTATGAGCAGATGTGTAAGTGTGATCTCTACCCGCAAGGATGGGACCCATCCTTGAGGATTCATCCCTGAGAAAGTCCTACGTATATGTATCTCAGCTTGGGCAGGGGGAGCCCTCGGACTGAATCCTGAAGCGGTATGAGCTGCCCATTGTCTCCTGGCTCATCCTCCATCAGAGCCCTGTCTGGGTTTGTCCTGGGTGGGTGGTGGGGAAGTTAGGCCTGTGACACGTGAAGCAGTCCTATTGTTTGTTCAATTCAGTTGATCTGGGTAGGCCCAGGATGCATGGCCCTGGCCCTGCCCACTAGGCCCAGTTCTCCTTCCCCAGCCTCTTCTGCACCATGGAGCCAGAACCCATACAGCCCGGCATGCTCATCGACATCTGCAAGTACCTGGACTCCCTACAGTACCGCGTCTGGAGGAAGATGGTTATGTCTGTTGAATCTGGTGAGTGGGGGTGTGGGCAGGTGACACAGGTCATGCGGGGTGGGGGGGGGCACTTCATGCAGGACAGAGAACCAGCCTCGTTCAGAGAGGCCCCAGTGCCCTGCCCCTCCTCTACTCCTTGCCCCGCTGCTCAGACCCCTCCCAGCAGAACTCCTTCCTCTTTGAGTCCTGACACTTAGCCACTGCTTCAGAAAAAGAAACCCACCGTCCTCTCTGTTCACAACGGTATCGTGTCCACAGTGAGAGACCTCCTCAGTTCAGGACTGCCTCCCTCGAGGGGGCTCCAGCCCACGGATCACTGTGCCGGGTGCAGTGGGCTGAACATTTGTCTCCCCTCAACCACCACCAAATTCTTGTGTTGAAGTCCTAACCTTCAGAGCGATGGTGTTTGGAGGCAGGGCCTTTGGGAAGTGATTCAGATCAGATGAGATCATAAGGGTGGGGCCCTCTGATGAGAGTTCAAACTCGTGAAAAGAGACATGAGAGCTGGCTTCCTCTCTCTCCATTTTGTGAGGACACAGCAAAAAAGTAGCCATCTGTAAACCATAAAGAGGACCCTCACCAGCACCTGGCCGTGGGGGTACTCTGATCTTGGACTTCAGCCTCCAGAACTGGGAGAAATAAACTGTTGTTTAGGCCACCCATCCTGTGGTACTCTTTTTGTAGCTGCCCAAACTGACAGACTCATGATTTCACTGGGGGAAATGTCAGTGACCCGGGGAATGTCACATGCGTTTCTGAGAGGGCACAGGAGTTGTGTGAGCATCAGGCTCCCTAACTCTGCTAGCTTCCTCTGGCTGTCATAACCAAAGACTGCAAACCAGATGCCTCAGAATGACAGAAATTGATTCTCACACTGCCAGAAGCTGGAAGTCCAAAATCCAGGTGTCAGCGGGGCCGTGCACCCTCTGAATGCTGCAGGGGAAGATCCTTCTTTGTCTCTTCCTAACTCCTGGTGTCCACAGACCATCTGTGGTTCGGGCTGCAGCCCTGGTGGCTCCACCTCTGTGGCTGCGTGGCCTTCTCCCCTCACTGTGTTGCTTCTCTTTCTGTAAGGACAAGCCTTTGCTTTACGGCCCCACTCTGTTCCAGTCTAATGACATCTGAAACAAATAAGGCCATCGGAGGTACTGGGGGTTAGGGCTCCCAAATACCTTTCTTGGCGAAGCACATTTCAAACCATAGCACTGCCCCTCAGCCCAAGGCAGCTCCCTCCCTGGACTGGGGCCACGTGGGACACCATTGGTCAGTCCGGGGGACGGGCCTCAGCTGGTGGGGCAGAAGGGCCGGAGGGGAGGTTCTCTGATTTCACCCTGCTCTTCCTCTCTACTCTCAGTGCCCTTCAGCTTTGATCCCAACACCGCGGCCGGCTGGCTGTCCGTGTCCGATGACCTCACCAGTGTCACCAACCACGGCTACCGAGTGCAGGTGGAGAACCCGGAGCGCTTCTCCTCAGCACCCTGCCTGCTGGGTTCACGCACCTTCTCCCAGGGCTCCCACGCCTGGGAGGTGGACCTGGGGACGCTGCCCAGCTGGCGGGTGGGCGTGGCGCGCATGCGCCAGGATACCGGCACCGGGGGCCACTCCCACAGCTGCTACCAGGACACTCGCTCCGGCTTCTGGTACTTGTGCCGCACGCAGGGGGTGGAGGGTGACCACTGCGTGACCTCAGACCCGACCACGTCACCGCTGGTCCCCTCCATCCCGCGTCGCCTGCGTGTGGAGCTGGAGTGTGAGGAGGGCGAGCTGTCCTTCTACGATGCTGAGCGCCACAACCACCTCTACACCTTCCATGCCCGCTTTGGGGAGGTGCGGCCCTACTTCTACCTGGGGGGCACACGGGGGGACGGGCCCCCCAAACCTATGCGCATCTGCCCCCTGCGCATCACCGTCAAGGAGGAGCTGGATGGCTGAGCCCGCCAGAGGCTGCCCAGGTGTATGCCGCGGTCCTGCTTTCTTTCGGCCCCTCTTCCTACAGCCCCTCGCTTGGGCACCGTTACCTCCTGCTTTCTTGCCGGGATCTTGCTCCTGCCTCGGATCCCTCTCCATGGCTCCGGGCCCCACGTCTCCCTCCTCATTCTTGGTCTTTATCCTCCACGGCTTGCTGGCCAGGCTCTCCCCAGAGTCGTGGCGAGATGTGAATTTTCTGAACCTTGACATCCCTATTTCTGGGGTGATGTTTGCCTCTAGAGTAGACCTGTTTTAAAATTTTTAAATGTAGGTTTTATTATTATTCAGCTGTGGTGAGGCCAACAGACCAGGAGAACACTGCTGTTGAAAAGAGTGTGTTACTTAGAGTTCCCAAGAGGGGCCCTGCGATTTGGGGATGGGAGTGGGGGGCACACACAGGGAAGCACCAGGTCTCCTGGGAGGCAGAGCGGGTGAGGGGAGAGCACAGGCGGGGGACTGCTGTGGTTTTCAGAGGAAGGAGCAGGTGAGGCACGTACAGGGTGGACAGGTATAGGACCGGATAGTTCAGCCAGCACCGGGAGGGGCAGCCCCGTGACCGGTGAGCTCCGCGTTTCAGTATCGAGAATACAGAAAACGGGAGTACAGTTAGCGCAGGGCCGCGGCTGTGGCTGAGGGGCAGGACCAGGGCCTGGCTTATCTGTCGCTTTTTACCAGTATTTTAAAGCTGCCTCACAGAGCTTCCCTGGGGTCGCTCAAGGCAAGGCTGCCCATCAGATCAACTCTGATTTATCTCTCGACACTTTTTGGGTGATTTCCTCTGAACAGAGGGTTTCAGAGTGCTTAAAAAACACAATTTTAAAACCATGGTTTAGACTGGTTTCCTGTCTGGTCCTCAGTTTCTTCATCTGTAAGTGACACAGCAGGACTGGAAGGCGATGCGCTTCTGTAGCTGCTCTGGAGGAAACCCCCCCATCCCCCCCCCTCCACCCCCGGGCTCTGTCACACAGGCCTGGGAAGGGAGGGAAGAGGGTATTGTTGGGGGCGGGGCATGAGAAGCGAGGGAGGTGGGTCTTAGCCAGCCTCCGGCTGCTTATGCGTGCTCTGCTGCCTTTTGCGTTTTTATCCCAATTTCTTCTCCCTCGGCCATGCCCGCCAGAGTTGGACCTCTACCTTTTTACCTCACGCACACCTCCAGGTGGTTTTTAATGCTCGAATCCCCGTGTCCTGGGGACGGCGTTGTAAAAGGAGATATTTTTCTATAGTAGCAACATTCTCGTTGGGGGAGGCACGATCCTGACCAAGGATTCAAGTCCTTTCTCCTGCCTGTACCCCCGGTTCACAGAAACGAACATTTTAAACAAATGATTTTTTAAAAACTGTAAATTGGTTATAAACATGGTGCATACTTTGGTAGGGGCCCCGGAGGGACTTGGTAGGACATGCCACTGAGTGGAGGCAACCAGGTCGGCAGTGGGAGGATGTTGGTGAGTGGGCCCCTTGACAGGCACTCAGAACAGCTCAGCACACTTTGATACCAAACCCGCCCGTGGCCGGTGGGCACGCTCTCAAATCAAGTACTTATCTAGCCCTTCTAATGTAATTCTTACATAGTTATCTTGACCAGAAGTTATTTTGTTAGTTACAATGAACTTCTTAAAGTGTTTTATATTTCCACCTTAGATGTTGGAAGAGGTTGTTTTTTTTTTACAGAATAATTTGCATAGCCTAGACCCCTTTTTACAAAAAAATAAAAATATTTGGGATAAAACCCACCTTTTTTTTTTACATTTCCCTTTTAGTGTTCTCGTAAGCAAAAGTTCATGTTGTAGCATGTATTCAGCTTTATTCCTTTTTATTACTGGGTAATATTCTGTTGTGTGCATAGACTAGTTTGTATTTATCCATTCGGTTGGTGGGCATGTGGATTGTTCCCACTTTTTTGGCCATTATGAAAACGCTGCTCTGAACTTAGGTGTGGACATGTTTTCCATTCTCTTGGGCATATACCTAGGAATAGATTGGCTGGATTGTGTGGTGACTGTTTAACTGTTGGAGGGACTGCCGGTCTGTTTTCCAACGTGGCCGCCCCACTTTATATTCTTACCAGCCTTGTATGAGGATTTCACTGCGCCAGTATCCTTGTTAACACTTGTTATTGCATGTCTTTCAACTTAGCCGTGCTGGTGGGGGAGGGGACTGTAATCTCATTGTGGTTTCAATTTGCATTTCCCTGATGCCTAATGATACTCGGCATCTTTTCATGGGCCTGTTTGCCACTTGCATGCCTTTTCAGGAGAAATGACTCCAGATCCTTTACCCATTTTAATTAGGTTATTTGTATTTTTAGTTATCGAGTTGTACAAGTTCTTTATACATTCTAGATACAAGTCCCGTATCAGATACACGATTTACAAAAATTTTCTGTTAGTCTGTGTGTTGTCTTTTCTCTTTCTCAACGATGCCCTTTGAAGCACAAAAGTTTTAAATTTTGACGATGCCTAGTTTGTTTACTTTTTCTTCTGCTGTTTATATATTCAGACCCTCTTGTACATTTCTTTCATTGCTGCTGTTGCGGTGATGAGTAAGAAACAAACAGAGGCAGCGTTTGGATAGGGTGGCGGAGGACAGGTTGTTGCTTATGTGTGTGCTCATCTGTTTCTCCCCATCTGTCTCCTCATAACTGTTAACAAAGACCTTACCAAACCTTCCCTCTCTCCCAAACTCTCTGTTTTTGCTTCACAGGTTTATTACTATTATAATAAGCGGTACTCACCTCAGTCTACTGTTTGAAGCGTGTTCTGTCTTGGGTATTTGAAATGTGCCAGGAAGGTGTTTAGCCTCATCTTTCCCTCCATCTCACTCAGTTTAATTTAACTATCTTGTACTTTAAGCACAAGCATCTGTGTGGGATTTTTAATAATATTTTGCAGTTCAAATATCTGTATCCTATAGTTATATTGCTTCACCTGTAGCCACTCTTCTCACTTTTATGCCCTGGAGTTCATTCCTCGAAACAAGGACACGTCTACCAAGTCCCCGATACATATTATGCTATTCGCTTTTTATCTGCGTGTTGGCGCTTGCAGGAGCGGTGAGGAATCGCGGGACCTTATTGGGCCTCGCAAGCTCCATAGCGCTGCGCTTCAATGCCAGATGTTGGAGGAGGGTAGTCTTTGTAGCCCTCTCTGTTGCTTTCTCATGATTCTCAAATGGAGTTGTGTGATCATGAAATGATGGAAAATACTCATTTGATTGTGTTTTGTCGTTTTGAACATCAGGTATTTAGACCTTCCCTGCCTTCTGCGCTTTGCGCTTGCCGTTTATGCTTCCAGATTCTGGCGCCATGACCAAACCTCAGGCGTCGTGGTTTTCTATATCTTGTTTTTGCTCTCAATCGTGTACATCTAACCACCTGCCAGGTTTGCTTTCAGACATAAGTAGCGTGGCGTCTATAAAAAATCACTTGCAAACGCCGTCAGCATCAGTTATTCAGTCGCTTGAAAGCTGTTCTTGTTTTTCTATCTCTCTTACATAAGGACGACGAAATATGTTGCTTCATGAAGGTTGGTTTCTGCAGCCCTGTGGTAAGTGAGTGTGTGTGCTGGGGGTCAGGAAGCTGTCCCTGACAATCCCACAGGACTGGCAGCATCAGAACCTGAAATCCGGATTCCTGGTCCCAAATACCAACTGTATTATTTACGAGCTGCCTATACTTTTTGAACCTCTGCTCTCTCATCTAAACTGAGGATTATGATTTCTACCTCAGGCTGTTGGGGGATTAAAATGAGGTAATTTTTTGGTGCAAATGCCATGTACCTAAACATAGACTTTCTACATGTTGGCTAATTCTTTGGAAAGTGGGAGGTTCTGAATGTTGATGTTATGATTCACATTAATGAAGAATCCCAAAGGCAATTGAGAAATCTAAGTTAACTGTATTGGAAGTACCCAGATTTCTTGAGATTTTTAACAAGGATGTGTACATGAAAATTATGTTTATGAAAAATTTCAATGACATGGGAACATGGTTATGTTGTAATCGAGGAAAATAGGGTTCAGAGTTATGTGTACAGACCAGCAACACACACAAAAAGACAAGCAAGATCCTGTCTCGGATTTTTTTTGTATTGTTTGATTAGATAATCTATTCACATGGCAGTCAATTCCAAAGGTACAGAAAGTACTAGAACAGTCTCTCCCACTTTTTCCCCGCTTAGCCTCTCCTTGTGGACAATCACAGTACCATTAAAAAACAATCCTTCCAGCCCTGGCTAGTGTGGCTCAGTGGAGTGAGCACCTGCCTTCGAACCAAATTACTGGTTCGATTCCCAGTCAGGGCACATGCCTGGGTTGCAGGCCAGGTCCCTAGTGGGGGCCATGTGAGGGGCAACCACACACGATGTTTCTCTTCCTCTCTCCTTCCCTTCCCCTCTCTCTAAAAATAATAAATGAAATTTTTTTAAAAATCCTTCCAGAGATATTCTGTGTGCAGCAATATCCTGTTTGTGACTATATCTGGCTTTCCCAATACACTGTAATTTAAGAGCAGATACTCTAGATTTGTGTCTCTGCGCAACCCAACAAGAGGAGAAAAATAAAGGATATTACTAAAATAATTTCCTTCCCTCAAGGGGGCAGTTCGTCATGAGTGTGTTCATGCAGTCAGTTCAACTACTGGATTTATTTTTTTGTCCTTGTCCAAATATTTCACCCTAGGATTTTAAAATGGGGAAAAAACTAAGTGGAATTTAGTTGCTCCTGACATTAGAAGATAAACCTCAAACGTGAGACCTCAAGATACATTTGAAAAATCTCAGTCCTCACAAAGGCATCTATCTAGTGATGTAAATAGCCTAGCGATTAAGAGGTTGGGATGTGGGATTGGAGAGGCTGGGTTCAAACTCCAGCTCATCTACTGTGTGACCTTGGGAGATTTGCTTAACCTCTCAGTGCCTCAGTTCCATCCTGTGAAAGATGGAGAGAGTATGATAGTTTAAGATTAATGGAGATAACCTACCCCATAAGGTGGTTACGAGATTAAATGGGCAAACGTGTGAAACACTTAGAATAGGGTCTGGCACATACTTGCAATTGAGAGCCTACTCCTGTGTTGCCTGGCCCTGCTATTGAAGAGCTGTGAGACTTAGATAAACTTCTGAAAGCAGGGAAACTGGGACACTTGCATATTTTTTTCAAGGTCTTTTCCAATTCTAATGTCCTGTGATCCATAATTTGTGTCACTAGCAAAAGCCTAGTGCCTTGCAGGTAGCAGGGACCGCTGCCCACCAGTAACCCACCAGTCCCACCAGAAGGGGAACCTGGGTGCAGTTCCAGGAGCTTTGCCTTGGGTTTTGAGTCTGGAGACAAGACCAAAGAGTCATAATATCTGAAGTATAGAAAAGGTTATTCTAGGGAGGAGCAGGTCTTGAAAAATTGTTCCTAAAATGACTGATCAGTCATGCACAATAAAATTATACTGTCACGTTCCAGTGATGGGTCACTTATGTCCTTGTATGTGCCAGACTGAAGATGATGTCAAACACTGACTCACATCCACCATGAATATGATCTCAGCCACAGCAGAGCTGTTTGGATTGGGCAAAAGATAATTGTTCATGGAGGGGGTTGAAGCATCTCCCTTCAAGGTTTCCAAAGGAAAAAAAAAATGCAGCTTCTTGCACTGGACTGTGCCACCCATTCCTTTCCCCAGCAACAATTGGAGGACCAGGCGAGAGAGAGCCAGTGGCCCCCAGGCAGAAGGAAGCCCCCGCTTCAAAGCATCCTGCTCTGGATGCTTTGTCCTTGTTGCTGGGTGTCACTTGGGTGGGTTTCTTTTGCTAGGGAACAGGCTGAGGAAGATGGGAGATTTTGGTTTCTATGGATACTGGGCTGGCTGGGATTTGCATAATACATTTCAGAGAACAGACAGTCTGGGAACAACATGGACCCAGGAGGAACATAAAGGCACATGGAAACGAGTTGGAGGGTCTGGGTAGTCAGTCATAAATCAAAATTCCTAGCTGTTTGGTTTTGAAATTAGACAAAGTTATTTTAATTTAATTTGGAATAGCAAGGAGGGTTAAACCAAATATTTTTTGGTGGTGGGGGAATGATCATACCCCTCAGATTTCATCTTGAGGAAATATTCAGATATTGGGACAATTTATGTACAATTTATGTTCATCACAGAATTATTTAGAATAGGGAACAGCCAGAAATAATCTAAATATACAAGAGAAGGGGAACAGTAAATTATTCCATATGCTGAAATACTACAAAGCCACTAAATAAATAAAAGAATATTTAAAGACAAGAGGAAATACTTGACAAAAGCCAAATTAAGTAACAAAAAATAATCAGAGCAATTTCAATTTTGTAAATCTACTGTATATTAGAAACAAATACCCAATATTGTTTACCATGGCTTGTGTTTGGATGAGGTGTTTGTACAGGAGACTTTTTTCCCTCCTCCTCCTCCTTCCCGGCCCCTCCTGTTTTCTAAAGAGAGAAAGCATTACACTTACAAAGGTAACATTAAGAAAACAAGAGTGTTAAATGTGGCTATTAAGTGGTTACTGGTGCCCTTGAAGAAGGGTTATTTTCTGAACGGTGAGGTTAGGAGGGGAAGCCTTAACAGAGACAAGGGAGGGAGATAACCGCAGGGCTGGGTCCCCAGAGACAGGATGGGTGACCACAAGGGGACAAACGGAAACATTTGCATTGACTCATTGTGAATCCTGCGTGTTTCCAGCCGGACGCTAGTGGCAGGGGTACTCAGAAAAAAAGTGAAGTTCTGGGACAGAGGGGCTGAGAGACGGAGCCTGAGAGCACAAAGGCCAGAACCCTTTTGGAGATGACCCCAGGGTGGCGCGTGCCTGGAGAACCGGCTGATCCAGGTCCGCAGGGCGTGGCCACGATGTTCTACGGCCACGTCTAGAGTGGAAGTGTCTGGGGAGCTGGTCCAGATGCCTCATTGAGGCATCCGGGTCTTAACGAAACTTCCTCAGCAGGTACGCTACTATTGGCTACTGCTACTGACATGATGTCACCATCATCCAATCTGAAGTCAATTGCTCTTCCCAGGTTAGGAGTTAATTAACTCTTCTAAACCGTAGGAGCCTGCAAAAACAGTGCCCCTCATCCGTTTTTGACTCTACTTTTCCAGGGTAGGGAAGTGAGGAGGTGGCGATGGAAATAAACCAAAAAGAACAGACATGCCAGATTTTATAGATATAGATATAATTTTTATGGTATAAAAGTAATGCATGTTCATTCTGAAAATTGTAAAAAGAATCACAGAATTCCATTACCCAAAGTTAATACTATTAAGCTTTTTGATTCAGTTTCTTTCTATATTTTTAATATGAGAGTTATTGGAAATTAACTTATTATATTTCTGCAGCATTTTTAAAAAATTTAC